GGGAGTGGTTTCTACCCCCCTTCCAGTTCAGAGAACTGCGAGATGTGACGTAAGCTCTCCCCACCCTTCCTCCAGCACTTATCTTCCTCACAGACGTTTTTGCTCTGCTTTCCTTGAACTCTTCTGCTGAACTCGCTGCCCCATTCTCTTCTCTGTCTCCCCTATGCCCTGCTATGCCCTGTCTCGGCTTGTCACTCTGATCTCTCTCCTCTTTCAATGCAAGCCTATGTTAGACTCTTGCAGCTAGTAAAAAACCATCACTGAATCCCATGTTCTCTCATCCTTTTTGCCCAGATCCCATCCTAGATCTTCTCATTATATTTCTCTAGATGCTCCTCTTTTCTTTAGATCTCTAGATCCTCTCGATATTTCTCTATGCACTCTCCTGACGCTGTTGAGCAAGTGCTGAGTGGCCTTTTTTGGGCCACAGCCCAAAATGCTTCATCCCTGCCCTCCATTGGCACTGTGCAGCACTAATCTCTTCCTTACGTCTCCATCCTCCACAGTTTGCCCAGCCCCGTTCATGCCCTGCGTGGTCTAGAGGACCTACTACCAGCGGGGGGGTCTCTGGGGTGCAGCTGCTGGTGGTGCCGTGATCTTGCAGCTGTGCCTTTGGTGGTGCAGCATTTCCCGTGGTGGCACAAACCACAGAAGCACACACTGCTGTGTCAAAAAGTGCTCTGCACAGCTGCTTCAGCATCTGCAAAATCATTGCATGGCCCTTTTCTCAGGGAGTTGTGGGGCCTCGAGTCAGTTCCTCTGCTCCCCCAATTGTTATTTCTTATGCACTACTTTGAGGGCTCCTGCAGCCCCCTTTATGTGCTGTTATTGCTCTCCTTGGGTCAGCATGGTGCCCCTGTGCTTCCCTGGGGCTTGAGCTGTACTGAGGAGGAACCACAGTTCTGAACCACAGGAAGTTCCACCTAAACCTGAGAAAAAACTTCTTCACTGTGAGGGTGACAGAGCACTGGAACAGGTTACCCAGAGAGGTGGTGGAATCTCCTTCGCTGGAGATATTCAAAACCCATCTGGATGTGATCCTGGGCAATATGCTCTAGAGGACCCTGCTTGAGCAGGGAGGTTGGACTAGATGATCTCCAGAGGTCCCTTCCAACCTAAACGATTCTGTGATTCTGTGAGGAGTGCATCGGAAAGGCTCCCGTGCCTGTGTGAGGCGAGATTCAGCTTGTCGAGGTTTGTGGAGTATCGAGAGCAGCCACAGCAGCCTGTTGGGCAGCGGGGAGAGGAGGATGAGGAAGAGGGACTTCATTCATGCCCTGCTTGTAGGGCTGGGGGCATTTCTGATCTTCAGCTTCCTGAACTCCCAAGTGCTGCATCAGAAAACATCCCTGCCCGCCTTGGGAAAGGAAACAGGATAATCCTGCTGGGGCTGCCCCAGTAGCTTGGTGGCCTGCAAGGAGGTTTCAGTGGGATTTCATTGTGGCCGCCCAGGGAAGGGATGCGACAGTTCCTCTTCTGAAGTTATGTTTTTTGTTTCAGTGCATTGCTCAGGGCAGGGACAGTGCTGTGAACCAAGGTTATGTTTTCCTTTCCTGGCTTACGTAGCCACCTGCCAGGTCAGCGACAAGAGGAAACGCAACAGACACCTGAGCAGCTGCAGGACAACTATTTGGTGGATGGGCAGGACAAAGGAAGTTTAGTACATAGCTGGCTTTCCACAGCCAGATGCTTTGTCATCTTTGCTGCTGCCTGTGTGATACCGTAGTGGTGAAGTGCAGAGGGAACTTTCTGGTAGGGCCTGCAGTTGAGATTGGTAGGTCTTTGTGATCATTATATTTACATAATTATGAGCTCTGCTGTTTGCTTGCTGAGGAGCTGATGATATCCTGGTGCCTTTCTGTCCTCTAGCCTTCTGTCATCGAGAGCTCACCCTAGTTCCTTGGGCACTGAAATGCCCAAAGATCAGAAACTCATCTTCCTTCGTTCGTCCCGCAAACATCAGAGCTCATCTTCCTTCAGTCCTTCCCCCTCTTTGAGGTCTGCTTTACATGAAGTGCAAAGGATGCCCAGCTGAAGCCACTGCTAAACAGCAGTACAGACAACCCTTAAGCTTTAAAGGACGTGGCCTAGAGAGGAAAGCAAAGTGCTTGGAAGTTTTCCCTGTAATCTCAAGAATATGACAGCAAGGCATGGGGCTGCTCCCCGCCTGGCGCTAGTCTATAGCATCCTCCCCAGATGCTATACTGCGGGTCCCTGCAGGGGCTGCAGCACCCATCATGGGCTGCCATGAGTCCACCCAAGGGAGCCACTTGAGGTGGCTTGTGGTTGCTATGGCCAACTGTGCAAGCATTTCACAGCAGTACTGTAGGAGGGTGTCACGCCATGGGTGAGAGAAACAAGCTCCCTTCCACAACCCTGCTGATCCAAGTAAGAAAGAACATCTGGAAAAGCCCCAGGATTGTGCTGGAGGACAAAGAAATATTCTGGACCCGGAACAACTTCTTGTTGCACAAGCAGAGAGAGGTTGTTGCCAGTGGGGGGGGTCTTGGACCCAGCTCGTAGCCAAAGTGGGGCAGAGAGCAGCCAGCTCTGCCTCTCTGCCTTTGGGCTCGCACTTGGTTGTGGCATGGAAGCAGTTGTTTTTGGACTTGGCCTGGAAGAAGAGCAAGTTCT